CCTGACTCAATTGCCACGATAATGTAAACAACATTGTGCTATTTTTAGTGTGCTAATTGTAATATTATTTGACTCAAACGCTCTAAATGCCTAGAACGGTTTCTCTATAACAGATTTATGCTCGGTTGGATTAAACATTAAAAAAAATTGATGAAGCAAATAATTGATCGAAATACTGTATTATTAGTACTAGTACTTATTAGCACTTATTATGAATACTATAAGATACTCGTTAGAAACAGAAATTTAAAAATAGCAAATAGAAAAGCCAGATTGTAATAGTTTTGCAAATAATTGTTGCATAATTGCTGTAAAACGAATAGGACAATTGCCGACAATATCCGGTTTTGGATTAACATGTTTTATTACAATGTGCAGAAAAACCATTCACCGGTATATTCATTCATTATAATAGTAACTTTCACGGTAGACGAGTTGTCTATTATGAAATAACGATGACGTCATTTTTGCCTTTATAAATAAAACAACACCAAGTCGATCCAAACAAGCGTGAGCGTGTCGCAACACTATCGCTAGACGCACGATGCACCGGCCGACCGACCTGAGCCGGCCGCAGCCTCTGCGAACCAATTCCAACCGGTTTTGATCCAATCGAGGTGCGCGCCTCACTCGCAGCCAATCAGCGTCCATTACGCCCAGTCGTTCTCGTTCTGTCGTCTGTCACGTACTCCTTTGTTTCTGTCAGTGAAAATAATTTTTCGCTTGTATTTCGTTGTATTTTCACAGTACAACATCAAACCGGTGTAATCCTGTGTCGAATATCGAATAGTTCACTACGATCAGCGTCATTTACGCATCGGTTTCTGCGGGCAGCCGACTTTAAATATGTTGGACAAGTAAAAAGTGCTAGAATCAGTGCTAAGACTGTAAAACCCAGTGTTGTGGTGTCCTATTTGCGTTTATAATCGTAACAAATGGTTGTTGAAGCGGGTTGCGGGCCAGCTATGGTGGTTTCGTGCAGGCGAGAATACCGTATCGGGTCTGGTGCTTTCATCTTCTTCAACCTGACGAGGCAGGACTATAGCTGACGAGTAATATGCTCGTGCTCGAGCAGAGACTGAATGCGCGGCACCTGGGTCGTGGGGTAGTGCTCAGTGCTCGCCTTTTGCATGGCGTGGAAGCGCAAGGTTGGCGGATGAAATTCTCCCTTCTGAAAGCTGAGGTGGAGATTGAAGCTGACCCGGCGACCTACAGAGAGCTCGCGAGGCGGCTTAACGCGGCCAACGTGCACGTTAGACCCGCAAGACGCTCGAGATTAACGTAAATATCACTTCTTAAAAATTAGTTTGAATAGTAGACCAAGCCTAAAAATTTTGCTCTCAATAATGTCACTCAATTAGAACTTTGTATCCAAACATAAACAAGCACCATTATGTTTTTAACATAAAAAAAGTTGCGCCACAACTATAATGAGATGTCTAATAGCTTATTCTGTTTAAGTCTGATTGATACAAATGGTCATTTGAATGAAATTTCAAATGGTTATCATTCAAATATAGAACTGACTCCTGTGCGGACCAAATGGAACACAACAACTGGACTACAAATAAATTTAAATTACACTTCCATTACTGTTTATTGCTGGATAAACATCATATAACTGCTGTCCTGTTTGAATTTAGAACTATTTGAATAGAGACAATTTTACCCAGAGTCATCAGAGCTCTGGTAGTTGACCCTGCCTTATCATCAAAAGCGGAATTAGCTAGTAGAACCCCTTAGTTCAAATTATGTAACTTTATAGTTTAAAAGTTTATAATCAGATTATAATTAGCTGATTATATGAACTTTCACAGTCTTATATTTTGACTTGATTACATGGACAGTGTAGATAATTAAAGAAAAGACAAATTGAAATTATCTATACTAATATTATTAACCTAAAGAGCATGTTTGTTTGTTATGTTGAACATGCTAATCTCGGGTAGTACTGGTTTGAATTGAATATCACACTATGACCAAAAGGAGCTGAGCATCAATGTAAAATGTTGCAGAAACTGAAATTTATTCCTTTAGATACACATAGAGTTAAATGGGTCAGCTAGTACCTTATAATTCTTAATAAGAGATCTCCTGCTAAATGCAGAAACCAGAGCCCACAACCAATACCAATAGATCTACTGATAGTTGAGTTTTGGTCTTGTTATGACAAGTGTAATTTGAACTGTCATTGTTTATTTGACCGGCTTATTGGTCTAGTGGTTAGTGACGCTGTCTGCTAAGCCAAAGGTTGTGGGTTTGATTCTGAACCAGGACAAATATTGTGTGATTAGCACGGTGGTCATTGGTCTGTGTCTGGTTGTCATTTATCTATAATATGTATGTATTTAGAAACCATGTCTGGTTACCATAGTACAGGATCTGCCCAGTTTGGGATAAGACGGCTGTGTGTGAGATATTATTATCATTTTATAGACTTTGGCACAATTACTGTTTGAAATATATACCAGACTTCTATACCTTAATGTAGTTGGTTTTATAAAGCAACTTGGAGTGAGGAATATGAGGAGGAATGATTGCATGAATAGCTAACCTGATCCTGGGATAACTAAAATGTATTTTTATTTATTTATTTAACTTAATGCACAAGTTGTACACAGGCGCACTTAATGCCCCAGGCATTCTCTGCCAGAACGCAACATCTAATGAACTTTACTAAAATGTGAAGTTGAGTTGTTCCTTTTTAAAAATATACACACATACACTCAAGTTAACTTTATGGATAGGGCTAGGCAGAGGCATTTTAAGCTGCCATACTTTGTCTGATTAGGATGAGGAGAGGGATTATATTTTTTTATTACAACTTAATGCACATATTGTAAATAATGTATTTAATGCCACTAGGTGTTCTCCCAGACTTTCAGGTGATGTAAAAATATGATGCGTTAGGTGCACAGATAAATTATTAAATTTGTCCTAGTTCATAATCGTTAGATAAATGAGAGATAAACTTACATTTTATATGACTAATATACATAAATACATAGCTACATACAAAATATTATATTTACATAGAGGTCCAAGTATACACACTATATAAACATACATAAATTAAAAACTTAATTCTAATTACTTAATTTAATTAATATATACAAAGAAAGGGAAAGCCTAGTTATGGGTGCCATACCAACCATAGTGTAGTGACTTCACAGATGGCATATTGGTTTAAGCTGTCACCTCATCGTTTCCTACTGTGCTGAGTGTTGTAGTTTCGATGCCCACATGGAACAACACTTCGTGTGATTTCATGTATGTCATAAAGTCCCCCCCCCCCCCGCAAGACAGGGTATATCCTAGTGTCGAAATGGTATTTTTTGAAAGAAAATAGTATGTATATGCAGAAGGATCTGGATCTATATGCATAGTTTGAGGAAGTCCTGGTAGCATAAGTGCACCTCAAACTGGCTGTAGCCAGATAGTCAGAACTTTAAATCCACATAAATAAAACAACAGATTCCTTTCAGGTTGTGTTTGTGCATTTTATCTTGAAAAATATTTTGGTAATGTATTATTTTTATTCCACATTATTCGAGTGTATATCATATTTGTAATCTTATCATATAGCTATACTTCCTACTTTTTGTATATACTTTTATTTTATCAATGACCTTACTTAATATTATGACAAAAGTTGAATTTATAAAAAATGTTACGTTATCCATTCCATGCTTTAACAAAAAATGAATGTTGAAAATCGGTTCACAATTGACGAAGTAATCAATGAACATACATAAAAAAAAAAAAACATACAGTGGAACATAGAACCCCCTCCTTTTTTGAAGTCGGTTAAAAAGAATCAAGTACTTTGACTTAACCAACCAAATAACTAGAAATGGTTATATGCCATGGAAGTGGGCGGGGTATAGCAGCTAAATCCCTCTATAACCTGCTTAAAGATCTTGGATTGTCAAGAGCTTCAGTAAGCTCTTTTCTTCTTCAAAGCGGCATTGCTAGGCTTGTATCAAATATGGTTAGGTAGAGGGAGTAACACAGCAGACAGTGGAGGTGAGCGCTGACGCGTCGCAACTACTACTCCCTAAACCTATACCTGGGTCGCAAGTCCCAGGCGCTGTCGAAGTCGCATGCTCTGCTCGAACATAAAAGCAGAAGCCAACTACAGTTGACACTGGGAGCCTCTCAAATTGACAGGCTTTTAGTCCATAACCACTTCAACTCAAATGAGTTAGTGTTTTCCAACTCTTTAAGAGGGACCTATGCATTTTTAGGCCATACTATCTTTTACATGATATAAAATGGCTTCTAGAAATCTGTGCACCTCTTCTACGCTTCTGTAATGATCTTGGTTGGCTCACCTAGCCTCGACGCATTAAGAACCACTTTTTGAGTCTAAATGCGGAGACCGGAGCCCACCACCAATACCAATACCAATACTCCCTTCTACAATCTATACTAATATTAAAAAGAGGTAAAGTTTGAGTGTTTGGGGTAATCTCAGAAACTACTGGATCGATTTGAAAAATTATTCTAGTATTGTATAGCCCGTTTATCGAGGAAGGCTGTATGCTATATAACGCTTCGACTAATAAGAGCCAAACATCAATGAAAAATGTTACAAAATAAATCTTTGTTGAAAAAAAGTTGAACCGACTTCAAACAACACTAACAAAGAGCACTAAAAACCTAACAGCAATCGCGGTTGATTTGATGTCATTTTTTAAACATTTCCGTTGTCTGTGTTCGAAACCCATCATCAGATATATATGAAATTTAAATGGGACCAAAATTAGAACAAAACAAAATTAGAATTTTAAAAATCCGTTTATAAATGACGGAGTTATGCCCGAACATACATAAAAAAAAACGAATTGATAATCTCCTTCTTTTTGAAAAAACAGGGGAAATTTCTTTTGAGATTTGCAAACGAAGTTGCGGGTGTTAACTAGTATATAACTAATATATAAAGTACTGCCATTGCCACAGCAACTACAACAAAATTAACAAGACTCTCTTTGTTGCAGTGTTGCTCCAAAGTCTATTGCCAGCCCGATTCTGGTCAACAAACCAGTACCGCAACATGGTAAGTTAATTGTAATAATTTAATACTGTTAGTTCATTATTTGCGTTCAGAAGTGCTATAGCAGATAAGCATTATTAATCCACAGTATCGATGTTCATATCTAGTAGTCTGTGTCATCAGTTCCTCGAAACCCTGATAGACTACACAAATGGCATAGTGGTTTATTTTGGTGGTCATCTCGCCGCTCCCTACTGCAAAAAAAATCCCCAGGATTAGGGGGGGGGGGGGGGGGGGAGGTTTCTTTCGTGCTAAAAAAAATTACACTAAGGCAATTGTTGTTTCTTAGACTATAGACTTACTTTTAATTTTTATTTTCAGCAATTATTACGTCGAACAATCAAATGAAGCCATACTGTCAAGAGTAAGTATCTTTAAATGGTATGACATCTCTATATTTCGATAAACTTTACAAATAACCAATAAGTCCCTATTGGTATAAGGCTCCAGTTTTCAGTTGTCGTAAGAGCCGACTAAAGGAACAACAGCAGTGCAAAGAGAAAGAAAACTTTAAACAAACCAATCCGTCTGGCCAGACTGGTATAATAGGCCAAACCCTCCTTTCTAAGGACAGGCCTTTGTTTTGTTAGTATTTTTAACCGACTTCAAAAAAGGAGGAGGTTCTCAATTCGACTGTATTTTTTTTTAATGTTTGTTACCTCAGAACTTTTGACTAGGTGAACCGATTTTGATGATTCCGTGTGGTCCCATTTTATTGTGGGTGGTTTTGATGGTCTTATGATAAAGAGTTGTAAATATTTTCTACATTAGTGTGCCAGTGTGTAAAGCCAGCCAGTTTTTATGTATACAAAACATAACTCACGCTAGTTATCCTTCGTTATCGAGGTCACGCGTAAATCGATACAATACTGATATAGATTTGGCTAAATACGTTATCTAACTTAAGATAAATATAGCCAATGTTTTTATCCATACTTACATATTATAAATCTGAAAGTGTGTTTGTTTGTAACGCTTTCACGCCTAAACCACTAAACCGATTTCAAAAATTATTTCACCAATGGAAAGCTACATTATCATACCATAGGCTAGTTATTATTGCGATAACCGACATAAGTTGGTACTTATCTTATATATAAAATTCTCGTGTCACAATGTTAGTTACCATACTCCTCCGAAACGGCTGGACCGATTTTTCTGAAATTTTGTGTCGATGTGCACAGGTAGGTCTGAGAATCGGCCAACATCTATTTTTCATACCCCTAAAGACAAGGGGGAATAATGTAAATGGCAAAACAACGTTTGCCGGGTCAGCTAGTATAATTCTAAATACATCTATACTATTATTACCTATAAAGAGGAGAGATTTGATTTTTTATTTGTTTGTAATAGATAGGCTCCGAAACTACTGGAGCGATTTAAAAAATTATTTCACCTATAGAAAGATACTTTATTAGCGATTAACAATGGCTCCTTTTTACCGCGATAATAGACGGCGCTGCGAGAAAAATATTTTATTTTATAAATGTGAAAGTGTGTTTGTTTGTTTACTTTCACGCCTAAACCACTGTCGATTTTAAAAATAAAACATATTTCAATAGGATATCTTCTTAATTACAGTGGTTTTGTATCCAATACACAGAAGTAATGAATAATATGTATTTTAACAGAAATAACGATGTTAAAGTGAACTCTCCGCCGTGCCATTCTCCCGGTGCCATACTGCCGGACCTGCCGCAGCCTCCAGAAGACACTGACAAGGTAAAACATTTTTTTTTTTTTGCCCAGGGTGAGAATCGAACACTAGACCAACATAATAATAAGAATAAAGTTAAAATAAATTTGAGTAGTTATAATACATTGGTCGAGTTACATTTAGTTAGTAATGTGGTCTTCACATTTAGCGACTTTCATAATCACAGACTTGTTAATCCTGGTAGTAATTCATAAGCTAATCTTAACTCATTCACAGCAGAACAGCGGTCTGTCGAAGGAGGCGACGGCATCAGAAACGCAGGCGTGGCTCACCCGACAAAGGTTTGCGCACCACGCAGCCACATTCACCAACTTTTCTGGAGCTGATTTACTCAGGTACAATATAATACAACAGCACAACACTAAACCACCTTACCTTAGTAATAAAAATATAATATTACTAAAATAACCTTAATAAATTTAATTTTGAATATAAATTTTGCCCATATAACACGCACAGACCCAGTTTAAAATTTTAAACGGGTATAACAACGCTTTTTTCATATTGTTTATTTTGATACATATTTTTTATTCAGAGACTCGTTTCGAAGAAATAAATACCTTATATTTATTAGTCGTAAAACTTAGTTTTCAATAAAAAGTAACAAAAACGTCGTGACCCGGATCCTTGACTAAATAGTTGACAGGTGGTGCAAAGATTCCTGACAAATCACACGAAAGGTTATAAATTACTTCAAAAATTCTAAGTCAAGCGATCGCTTGAAACGCAGGTTTAGTCCAGTTCAGACAGACAGCGATTAATAATAATAATAATAATAATAATAATTTAATTTCTCACCACAATATAGCATACATTACATTTGAATAAAACAAAAAAATACAAATTATCATTTCCAGAATATTGTGGGAGACTGGTGCCTAAGCTAGGCTCGAGGCCTGTGTTTCAGGACACCAGGTCTCCACCCCGTGTATATTTACATTTTAATATTTTTTTATTTATTTTACACAAGCCAGCACTACAAAGTTGCATGTTTTACTATATTTAATAGTTTATTTCTAGTAGCATAGCATATTAAGTGAGGTACATAAATTATTGTTGCGTGTTGCGTGTGAATGATTGTGTGTGTATGTGTATATGTGTGAGTGATTAATTGTGTGTGTGTGTTTATGTGAGTGTGCGTGTGTGTGTGTGTTTATGTGAATGTGTGTGTGTGTTGTGTGTGTGTGTGTGTGTGTGTGTGTGTGTGTGTGTGTGTGTGAGTAGGCGTGAGTATGTGGATGCGTGAGCTTGTGGGCATGGGTTTGTTCATGTGCATTCGTGTCATTAGCAAACTCTAAACTATTACCGAAAGCATCGCTTCAGTATCGTCATAGTTTAACCCCTTCAAATAATTAGTGAGCGTTCGCTTACTCATGGCCTTTGTGAGGTGGAATATCGGTACAACTCTGTTGACCTTATTGTACAGGAAGCCGCCCATGTGGCAAAAGAACCGTTTGGAATGTTTTGTTAAAAGCTTAAGACGTTGTACAGGATTGAATCTTCTTTTGACACTGGAAGGAGTTTGGTTATAGACTAGTAAAGAATGCTGTTTCAGCAGAGTATACAAAATGAACAACTGACGCACCGTCAAAACTTCAGCCTCCCTGTACAGCAATGCAGTAGGAAAGCGATATGGCTTACAAAGTGCCACCTTCAAGATAGCCCTTTGCGTTCTCTCAAGGTCAATTAATCTAATTTTCGGCGCTCCACCCCATATGGTGATACAATAGGTGAGAACTGACTGAACAAGGGCAAAGTAAACCGCTTTTAGTCGTTGAGTGTCTAAGACGCATCTAATCGCTTTAAAAATATACATTAATTTACGTAACCTACTGTTGAGGGCGTCTATGTGTTCATGAAATCCTAAATTTTTATCTATGATCACACCCAAGTATTTGACGGTATGTGCTTTTTGTAAAGGAGTGCAAGGGCACTGACCTCTGTGCGGTTCAGGACACGTGTGGGCCAGTATTGTATAAGGTGGGGCTTTTGAGGTTGAAGGATTGCCTTTCAGAGAGAATGTGATGTAGTGTGTTTTATCGTTATTCAGGGTCAATAGGTTACTTCTTAGCCATTTAGATACAATATTGAACCCCGATTGAGCACGCTCGTAGACTTCACTCCACGTATTACCACTAAACACAAGAGCAGTGTCGTCAGCAAACATTACCGCCCTGCCTTTAGGTAGAGTGAGCATACCTATATCATTGACATAGATAAGGAAGAGTGTAGGGCCAATTACACTCCCCTGGGGCGTGCCATATGTGAGTACACGCTCATCACTGAGATAATCGCCTATCCTAACTCTCTGTGTACGCTCACTTAAATAATCTTTAAAGAGATCCAGTGGCACACCTCTGATTCCTAGGCTTTCCATCTTTGACATAAGGTTGGGTACGGAAACCGTGTCAAAAGCTTTGGCAATATCTAAAAAGATGCCTAAAACCTTTTGTCCACCATCCATTTCTGTGACTATATAGTCGGTGAGTTCATGTACCGCGTCTGAGGTTGATTTACCAGCTCGAAAACCAAACTGTATAGATGAGAGAAGCTGGTTTCCTTCTAGATAAGTAATGAGTCGGTTATTCATTATCCGCTCAATAATTTTTGAAAGGACTGGCAGTACAGCAATCGGTCTATAGTTGTTGACACGGCTTCCGTCGCCACCCTTGAAGATTGGGTGTATGATGGCTTTCTTAAACGCCTTAGGGAATTTTCCTGTAGAGAGTACAAGATTACAAATGTACGTTAAAGGTGACACCACAGCTAGTTCGTGTTTTTTCAAAATTCCACTCGATATTCCATCCCAGCCAGTGGAACAGCCATCACGAAGTGACCTTAAGATCCTAGCAACCTCACCCTCATCAGCAGGCAACAGTACCATAGAATGCGGACTGTTGTTCGCAGTAATTGGCTTAGCGGGTCCGCTCTGAGCAGTCATATTTTTTTCCGCTAGGTGTTTGCCGATGTTTGAGAAATAGTCATTTACGAAGTTTATAGAGGCCTCTGGTGAGGTAAGGGTAGTCAACAACCGGGTCGAAACATTCACTTTACCCTTGGATCTGCCCGTCATATTATTTATGACTGACCACACCTGCTTAGTGTCATTGCCTGCTTTCTCAACCTGTTTCTTTTCGTAGTCCATCTTAATAGTTTTTAAAAGTTTGTTGCAATAGTTTTTATATCTTTTGAACGTTAGTTTTATGATGTCATTATTAGGGGCCAATTTACTTTTTTTATGTAGTTTGTCTCTGTGCCTGATACACCTAAGTAAGCCTGGGGTAATCCATGGCTTTATAGTTTGTTTGCGATTTGGAATTTTGACGATTTTAGAGTTCAAGTCAATAGTATTTTTAATTAAATTAATCATTATCTCTGCTGCATCATTAGGATCCAGCATCTTGTATACCTCACTAAAGTCTAGACGTTTGAAGTCTGCATCTAATTGCTCATAATTGATGCGATTTACAAACTTTTTTGTTTTGATTTTTGATATTCTGGTTGATAGATATAGTAAGACAGTGTCGTGATCAGTAAGAGATGAGTTAGCGACTAGAGTTGTAGCAGGTTTACGGGTTTTCAATATAATGTGATCAAGGCAAGCATTTTGTCGGGTGGGTAGCGAATGCGCAGGTAGTAAGCCATGTGATGCCAATAAGTTCAGATAATTATGTTTAACTAGGTCCTGGCATTGCTCGTGAATATTAATGTTAATGTCTCCTGCAACAACTATATCGCTAAAATGATCAATCTTAGTCAATATGTCGTTTAGAGAGGCCAAGAAGTTGGTAGCGTCTCTATATCCTGGAGGTCGATATAGGGCAAGTAAACTAGTGTTATTATTAATTGTTACTTGGAGACAGTTTGCATCTAAAAATGGGGGTTCCACCACCGTACATTGTAGGTTTTTGTGAACGTAAACAACCACACCTTCATTCTGTGTAAGGTTGTTGGTAGTGAAAAAGTAGTTGTAGCCGGGTAGGTCGGGGATGTTGTGTGTATTAGGAAGCCAACATTCAGTCAAAACCAGAATGTCCCAGTCAATATTGGTTCGAGCAAGTGTGGTGATAAATCCTGGCATATTCTTTGTAATACTTCTTATATTTTGATTAAGTATTTTAAGACAATGGTGAGGCACGAAGTTAGACGGGGCGCAGCGGTCCAAATCGCAAGTTGCCGACTCAGACACAGAGACAGAGTCTATATTGCTTATTGTATTTTGTACACCATCGAATGTTAAAAAAGAAAAATTTTATAATATTATATTTAGGTTTTAAACCTTCACGAAATTTCAATATTACGTACAAAAACCAAAAAAAGAAATTTGAAACTTGGCGACACGGTGCATACTCATATGATAGTTGACAGTGAATTCTCACCGCACAAAATGTAATAAGTGCAAGTAAGTTTTCAAAACAGATTGTCAGTAAGGAATGAGTGTAGTGTGTATTCAGTTTTATGAATGTTACTTGTAATATGGAGTGTATATATTTATCAGTATAAAAACATTGTATATTTATGTGTAAAATAGTTGCAAATGTGTAGGTAAGTTGAACATTACAGTGAATTAGAATAGTCACAATAATAGTATTAAAATAAAATAATTTAAAATAAAAAATAGCTGAAAAGTGCAAAACTAGTCACATTCTTCTTCGCAATCCAACAAGATCCTCCTCAGTCCTTATAAGATACTTAGGCCTACCTTCCTTCTCCCGTATATATACTTTACCGTTGGCGGTCCAACATTGTTCGTATTCACTGCTTTTAATAAATTCTCGCGCGAGGTAGTATAGGCGCTTTGTCATAGCAGTGAGTGCCTCAGATACGTATAGCGGTTGCCTAGGCCCTACGTCAGACAGGTGATAGGAGTTAAGGCGATTATCTTTGTTTTGTTTGTTGTAGTACTTAGCCGAACCCAGGAAGCGCTCCTTAAGCATTTCTGTCGAGAACTCCACCATAACTGTACCTGGTGAGCCCATCTTTCCCTTCAAACGAAATATATTCTTTATGTTAGCGTCAGTTACCGGCTGGTTGATGACGTCACCCAATTTTTTAATTGACTCAGTAAGTGTTTCACGAGTTTCAGGTATTGAGGGCGGTAGATTTTTAAATTCAAGGGACGCAGATTTGATATGTTTTTCCAAGTAATCCACCTTTGATTCCAATGCTTTTACTGTTTTTTTATTGTTATTACACTCCTCTTTTAAGTTACTTATTTGCAACAGGGCATCATCGTACCTTTCTGACAAGAATATAACGGTCTTTTGGATTTCATCGTTTTGCTGACGAATTTCTACATTCTGTTTTCGTATAACAGAGTTTTGCGATCTTATTTCATCAAGAGCAGAGTGCAAAGAGTCTATTTTCTCGTTTTGCTGGTTTTGCTGTATTACTAACTGAGAGAACATGCCCTTCATCTCATTCATCATTTGTTCCATCCGTTCCCAGTCGTTCTCACTACGCTTTCGTTTTCTCTGAGCAATTTTTTTATTACTATCATTAACGTTCTCCTTGACATTCACTGACAAGTTAGGTTCAGAAGCGTAAAGGGTACTCGCTGACTTATTTGGTGGGGTTCGCGTGAGAGAAGTGGTCATCTTTGTTTTTAGCTAATAGTGTAATAATGGTATAAGGTTAATGTAGGGTAGGTTAATAGATATTGTGGTTATTAATCTCAGCAGCAGTCAAACTTCTTGTTTATATTGCGATGAGAAACAAAGCAGTAGTACTCACACAGCGGTGTTTACAGTGATGATACTTTAGTGCGCAGGAGTAATAATAGTGCCCGTATAACGCAATAGAAGCACTGCCGAGTGTAGCCGATAACGTGCCGAGGATACGTCCTTGAGGCACGAAGTTTGCCGAGCCGGTCGGACGTTGCTCGAGTTCGCTGCTTTGATTGCCGATGACTCATGCGCCGCCGTGTTGAATTCAAATATGCTTGTGGCCGTTGTTGTTGAAGTTGAATAATTCCGTGATATCTTCGTTGTTTATTGATGAATTTAGAAACTGTTTAGTTCACCGCAAAGTCCACACAATAGGTCACACAACAATACAGTGTGATAAACTAAAAACAACTCATTACACTAGTTATGATCTTTTATATAGGAGTGCAAAAAAAGTACGTGTTATCGCCCTCAGAGCCGGGGGGGGAGTGATAATAAATTTTAGTAAATCTTTGTTTAAAAATTCATGGGTAAAATAATTTCATTACTATACACCTGGTCTTACACCAGTGTAACTTGGTGCGGTGGTAGCGTATGTGACTGCTATGCTGAGGTCTCGCGTTCGATTCCCGGGTCGGACCAAATGTTTCTCTGATCTGCAATTTTTTTTAGTTTGGGTGTTTTCTATTTACAATATGTATGCATTTCCAAAAAATAATAATAAAAGTATTCTATTAGTCAATCTAGCTTTCATAATACAGAAAAATGCAGAAGATACATTATGATTTTTTCATGCATTTTTACACAAACTAAGTAATAACTTTAACTTATATATTTGTGATGAGCATGATGGTTTGTTCTGTGTCTGTGTGTAATTTATCAATAATATGTATGTATTTAGAAATACAAAAGTATGTTTATCATTAGTTTGGTTACCATAGTTTGGCTGCCTAGTTTGGGACATGACAGCCGTGTGTGAGACGTGTGAGGTTATTATTTTTATGCTAGATATCACATCACATCACACCTCCGCACGCGAATTTTGTTTTAAAATGTAAACTAAATTCATGGAGGAATTATTTTCACATTTGAATGTATATGTTATTATATTGTTGTTTGTTGACAGGCTGTCGCGCGATGACATTATTCAGATCTGCGGACTGGCGGACGGAATACGTTTGTTCAACGCTCTGCACGCCAAGTGAGTGTTTGATCTTCACTATAGTTAAACCGCCGTAAGCTTGGCCCTCCTGATGGTTTGGGGGACGCGGGGCGGGGGTGCATTCAACCAATTAGCTAATGCGTCGCTGTCCGCCGGCAGTGACTGACGTGAAAGCATGGCTGTACGTGTCATTTTTCTTAAGACTAGCAGTCTTAAGGTACACACGGTATTATTTTGCAACATGGATAATCTGCCGACTCTCACAAAAAGATTTAAAAACTTGAAGTTCGGCTTACAGAGGTTCTACTGTTAAAGTTCTAATAAAGAATATTTATTATTTTACTTAATTTTTAAATTGTATCTGAATATAATTTACATGATGACGATAGTGATTTTATTAAAATTATTTTACAGTATTAAATTTTACAATTAATCATAAAACTTACAATACACTGACATTATAATACATGGAAATAAATTCGATTTTTATTACATCGTGTGTAGATTAAATCTCAAACAAATAAATCTGAAGATATCGAGTTAGTACATCGTGTCATGTATAGCCGAGCGCATCACCCGCCCTGCGTCCCGCAAACCATCAGGAGGGCCAAGCTTACGGCGGTTTAACTATAGTCGGTTCGATTCCCACACACCGCCCCGCCACAAACGCTGGCGGGGTGACGGCCCGAGAGGGTCTCGAAACGTTAAAAAAAATTAACATATATATTATTTATGATCTTAAACGACATACGCTTATTAATGGCGATGATGAATAGAATAGAATAGAATATATTTTATTTGCATTGATTGTAGGTACATAAAATAGTGATGTTAACAAGTTTTCTAATCCTTATACAATCTACCTGGACTAGGCATGCAAACATTAAAAATGCATCAAAAATTAACAATTAATTCAAAACAAAAAATACATTTTTGAATGATTACAACTTATAATATTAATATAAATATATATAAATCAAAATAATTACGTCAGCAATATTAATTGAAAGAAGGAAAATAAATTAAATGTCAAATAAACATAGGTGATGTCAAAAAACTAAACATCTAAAGTTTATCATTTAAAAAATCATTAATTGAATAATAACACTTATTTAGCAGAAGTGTAGTCAGTTGGTTCTTGAATGTTTCTAATGTTTCATTTTTTATACCATTGGGTATTTTGTTATAAATAACAGGAGCCATGCCGAAAACATTTTTCTTCAGTAACGCAGTATTATAACCACCAACTTGCAACATATTTTTATATTGACTTCTAATCGGTCCTTTCCTTGTTTATGTTATGTGTTATGTTTTATGTTCCTTGTGTATGTAAGATGTTTATAAGATTACCTAGAGTTTTGATTGAATTACCTACCCCGCACAAATCTGTGGAACGGGTTATCGTCTGCGGTATTTCCGGACCGATACGGCCTTTAAACGCAAAGCGTTAGTGACTCGTGAGTTACAGACGTTCATGGCCGGCGATGGTCCATTTCCATCACGTGACCCTTCTGCTCGTCTGCCCCTTCTATCATAAAAAGAAGTTTGCAATAGGAATTGCTGGATTTAGCATAGCGCATGTGATGTCAATGCGAATTACCGTAACTGCTTGATTTCCGTTGGGTCTTACGTTTGCTTGCCACCGACGTGGTAAAACCCTCTTCACCACGATAATGATATATATTGTCTCCAGGCGGATCGAGCCTCGACTGACGGTGTACGTGTGTCCCTGGGGCAGCAACATCTACAGCGCGCTGTACCTGCACGCTTGCCGCGCCCAGGAGCTGATGCATAAGCTCAATTCGCTCGTACACCACCACCACCCACCAGCCAAGGTAATACCACTATCAATCCTATACAATATGGTAGCTTACTGACAGTTACTTTTCATTAAACTTTCAAAATACATTCTGTAGTACTTTTAGAACTAACGGCTTATGACGTCATACTCCGCTATTACTAATTAATTAATTTACTGTTAGTGTTTGGTTTTACAATTTCAATTCTTATAACAAATTATTTGACTGCACGGATGTCGTAGTGGTTTAAGTGGTCGCCACGCCGCTCACTATTACGCTGAGTGTTTTGGGTCCGATCACTACATGGGACCACTTTGTGTGATCCACAGATTGTTGTTCTGAGTCTGGGTGTTCTCTGTGTCCGTTTCATATATGTTTGTAAAGTCCCCCGCGACACAGTAATATGTTCCTAATACGGGCCTGTATTTTAAAAAAAATGTTAGTTGCAGTAATATTAAATTACCTAAAATGAGGTTTATCTGATTTATTTTTACTGCAACTTGTCTACGGCACTCTATCGCGACTAACAACACTTAAATGTACCTAGTTTTGGCGTAACTCAAAGCAAAACAAACTTTAATACATATAGAAGACAGTTTAGTTTGATTCTATAAAGAAACTGACAAATGCGGGTGTGGGGTATATATTAAGTACAGCCATTTTATTTATAATGATCGAAATCCTTAAAGACTTTCAATTCACAGGAATGCGAAACCGTCCTCGTGTCAGGACCAAACGGAGCCCGCGTGCGTCTCACTGATGAACTAGTTCGCCACATGCCCGACAACTCCACCTACCGGCTGGAGAGAGTAGACGAGAACGGGGCTCTCCTCCTGTCCGCCACCAGTGGGAACTAACTAACTTTTCAAGCGTCTGCTTCCTGTCTGAAGCCCACGGCTTCAGACAGGAAGCAGACGCTTGAAAAGTATTAGATATTATGCATTTTACAAAAGATTAAAATCAAGCGTATGCTTGTTTGCCACCATACTAGGAGAAGAGAATATTAAGCTAAATAAAGTAAGCTATATGCTTGTTAGGTAAAAGACTACAACCAGAGCAGATATATTAGAAATGAGAAGATGAATCTAAACCGACTATGTGTGCTCCAGAATTAGGCAGAGCCAGTGCTATGATAATAAACATACTTACAAATGTTTAAATACATACATACACAATATAGATAAATTATATCCAAACACAGAGCAATTGATCGTGCTCATCACCACCATTTCATTGCTAACCATAAACCAGTCAGGTTTAGTGGTTACAATATCATAGTATGTATTTAGAAATAGTATGTAAGTATGTATATTTAGAAATGTGTCGGTAAAAAAGCTTCTACAACTATAATCGATATGCTATCGATCATTTTGGTCCCACTTATACATTTTGGTCCCACTTATACATTTTGGTCACACTTAAACTTTTTGGTCCCACTTAAACTTTTTGGTCCCACTTATACATTTTGGTCACACTTAAACTTTTTGGTCCCACTTATAGGGAGTACTATTAGGTAGGACTAACATGATAGTCGGCAAAAAGTGACCGTTTATCCTCCGCCTCTGCCTAAGCCCCTTCGGGGATAAAGACGTGATCACATGACTGTGTAAGTCAAACTTGAAAATTGTATTAGTAGGGTTTCGTTTCATTAACCGAAATGTCTTAAAAGATTAGAATTTTTTATCACCCCTCCAACTGAGTAAAATGCTTGTGTTGGGGTAAAGATCTCGCCCGTAGTGTATAAGGTAGGGTCGAACCTGCAAAAAGTCATTTGCAAGTCGTAACTCTTAGCCATTACACTACCGCCGTTTAAGATTACACGTATGTACATACATACATACATAACGTTACTTTCACACACGTTACAATAAAATCGTCAAAACGTGTGCTTTGTTTATCGGACTAGATTCTTGTAACTCTCCACGGGATTAGCCGAAGAGTTAAGATATTTAAAGTATTGAAGGTTGAACTTTGAGATGATGTCGAATATAAAGGCCATTAAATTGTGATTTTAAATACTAACCTCATTTCATCCATCGTACTAACAATTTGATTATGTTTTCAATTGTAAAACTTTTTTGTTTAAGCATATACAATATATAATATGCACATGCAGTGTTAAAGAGAATGCCTTGTGTACATTAGATTTTATAATTAATAATCAACATTGTTTACAAGCTATATAACAAAGTTATTATAAAATATAAACTTTCGTGAGTTTTATTATAGTAAGAGTGTGGCGCCAACAAAGTGGCTGGACCTCACTTCTGGTATTTTAATATTGTATCAAAGGAATGTCGTCGTAATAGTTTTGCACTTTTCGTATTCTACTATGTATGCCCAATGGCCGATCCTGATGACTTGTCACTGAACTGCCACTGATACAAAAGTCGTCGATGTCTTTGTAATAGTTTGGTAAATGGTACATTTTAAATTTGTAAGTAATATGGCAATTTTGTTAATATCACCAGTGATGAGCCATTGCCACTGAGTTTATGTTAGTAGAATACCGATATTTGGACCGATGTCAATGGCATCTCAATATCGTTTCAATGTAATGACAGTATCTTGTACATTAACATAAAATAACAGAATTGAGGCCATGGTCGCGTGACACATTAATGTTAGGTGCCGGTCGGTACCTACCATTCGAGTATATTCCATCTAATTAAGTACTTCCATTTACAATATTTTTGTGGATTTTTTTATATCGATGCTTGCAAATTGGTGGAATTTTATACTCATACATATTATAATCGTGTATTAAGATGTTTAGTTAACACAGTTAGTAAGTAAATTCTTAGAATGTAATTAAGAACTTTACTTTTATGACTCTGTTGTTTAGACTAGGTCTGCGCCTTCTGTATGTTTAAGGATGCATACCTGTCGGGTTATATGTTGTATTATTGTAAGCTTCTGAATGTTGACCCTAAGAAATTGTTATTTGCGTTTTGAAACTTTGTTAGTGACAATTAGCACCTAAATTGCTTATATACGGGCCTGTTGGTCTCTAGTGGTTAGTGACCCTGACTGCTAACCCGGAAGTCGTGGGTTCGATTCCCACCCAGGACAAATATTAGTGTGATAAGCACAATCATTTGTTCTGTGTCTGGGTGTAAATTTTCTAAAATTTGTATGTATTTAGAAACATATAAGTATGTTTATCAGCTGTCTGGTTACCATAGTACAGGCTCTGCCTAGTTTGGGATCAGACGGCCGTGTGTGATATTGTGAGGTTAATATATTAAAAATATATGAACCTCCACTATATATCATCCTATTATATGTTTTGTCCGTTGCTGTGTACATTCAAAGGTTTGTTCAGAAAAAGGCAAGGTGATGATGTTGTGAAGTCTTTTTCGTGTCAGTTCTACTTCTGGCTGACGTGTGCGTGTGTGTGTACCCACATCATTTAGAATAAACATCACCTACTGACAAATATTCTCTGATAAAAAGTCCATCTAAACGCATTAATTTATCATTTCAGTAATGTTATGAATTTTCCTCCACTTAAAAAGTTAATCTTAGGGTCTATTCACACGCGCGTGTCAAAATTAAGGCAACTACACACCATATTATATATATTTAGCTTTAACGATGGTTGTTATGTAATCACAGATTATAATTGTTATTATTTTTTAAATAAAATGCATGTTATTTTATATAACGAATATTTGGAATAAGTTTCACAAACATATATTTTTATTAAACACAACTTATAAGCTTTGTACAAGACGGCTCTTCTCGAATCAGATTACCATAAATAATTATGTTCAGAAGATAGTAGACTAATTATTTAATGTACATAATTATGTCATCAGCAGGTCTGTTGGCATTTTTAGCCGTTTGAGCCGTCTTTTAGCAGCTTTAAAAAGAACTTATTCCACTCGAAAATAATTTTAAATGAGGTGCCTCTCAAGTGCCTAGAACGCGGCCAGTGGACAGCGCTGTTGCATCGCGGAGTATTAATTATTAAGTATATTATAAGGTTTTATAGTAATGGTTAAATAAGATATTATGTTGCATGGAGTAGTTGTAGTCAAATAAATGAAATGTGTAGTCGATAATAAATGTATAGACTAAATTATTTTGTTTCTGTTTATCCTTACACACGACGAAATGGGTACTGATTCTATATAGTTATCTGATATAGTCCTTGGAATCCCCTAACAAGGAACTGTAGAACAGTAAAAAAAGACTAAGAAAACCTATCCACGTTTTTTTGTATTTTCATTTTAGTTATTGCTTCCGTTATGAGTGTTTGTGTATACAAGGGGGTATTTTTTAAATCCATTGGTTTATTAAAAAGGTAACTTAGTTTTTATTTATATAATTTAAGGTTATCTTATGGAAGTTCCGACGGATATTCTATGCTTGCCTAGTTATAGGAATTTGAATTATTCGCTGTGAGATACCTACGTCATATTGTGCAACGCCATGCGCCACTTCGAGGTGGGAAGATAACGTCCGTGTGGATTGAAGAAAGGGGCCTTTCATGTCTTAAGGAAATTAATGTAATTATTCAGTGGTAAGTTTAGTTTTTGTAGGATGTTCCTTAATTTTGTAGTATACTTCAAAATTTATATAAACACTAGCTGACCGGCGCAACTTCGTCTGCGTCTCTCAATAGTAATAAATTTTCTCCGTTTTTGAAACATTCTTTATTGGTGCTCCGCTCCTATTGGTCTTAGCGTGATGATATATAGCCTATAGCCTTCCTCGATAAATGGGCTATCTAACACTGAAAGAATTTTTCAAATCGGACCAGTAGTTCCTGAGATTATCGCGTTCAAACAAACAAACAAACTCTTCAGCTTTATAATATTAGTATAGATAAAGGTGGCTAAATGTTTGGTTTGAGGGGCCAAGTCAGAACTGGGAACATAATGCGTGTATTGTAAACGACGCCACTGAAACACACCCAACGGTGTGTCGTTTAAAATTATTTTTCTGGTACCGACTATTTTTGTCTAGTGACTAATTTAATTTTTATTTGTAATGGAAAAAGTCTGTAATTAAAAATGAGGTAATGGGTACTTAAGACACATTGTAACTGGCTCCTCAATTAAGATGCATCGGTAAATAGGTTTGGTTCTTATTTGCTTATGTTTGTGATGAAATTTTAACATAATAATTGTGTATAAACAAAGTAATTGGCTATCCTTTAATTTACTAACAAATTAATTTGAAGGGTCTGTGAATAACTTATATAAAAAGTATTTGGTTTTCGTAAAAACAAATCTATTTTATTTTATTTCAGTTAATTATTTGAGAGTCACACCAAATAATGTCGTTACCTACCTATCCTCAATGATGTTTATACAGAGACCTGGCATCACAGAGTACAGTTATAGCCTGGCATTCATTTTCGGTAAAACTCGCTTGTTTGCGCTCACGCTTGCTGACGTCTCTTGTCCGAATTGACACTTTTTATTTTAATATTTTTTCACTGTCTATTCGGAATATTTTTAAATAAATTAAAAAATATGGTTTGCTTAAAATATATTTGTTACCGCTAATGTGCACTAATCAGAGTGCAGATTAACTTTTTAATCTGCAGATTATATTGTTCAGATCGTTAAAGTTAAAAAAAATGTTTCATTTCTTACATTAACTAGATTATCTGCTGACTTACTAGGTATGGTCCGATGCAAATGCTCTAAAGTTAGCTGCGCACACAGGTATGCGCAGGTACCTAGGCAAGTCGACTCGATTGTACGTACACAGCCACACAGGAATATGCGCGCATGTGCAATGTACGACATGCGTGTCGAGTGCCGCCCTGCCCCCGTTCTATTATTGTGTTCTGTGCATTGAAACGCACGATAAGTTTGCATCGGACTGTAATCTATAGACTAATGAGCAAGCTTACAGTTAAATTATAAATACCTACTTATAACTGAAGAATTTCTGTACCTATATTTCGATATTTTCCATTTGTTTAAATGTAATTTCAAAACCCAGTCCTGATTTTATTTGAAATGGTCACCCTAAATAGTGAATTCATAAGGCATATCGAAAAGGACCTAATTTGTTTTAGGTACTGAATATAAACAATGTTCAGATCAACATTGCTACTAAATGTTTTTGAAGTGGAATATAAATTAACCAATTACTTTCATTGAAATTCTCGCTCTTATGTATTGAATAAGGAACCCCATTAAAAGCATTGTATATTCTTAAATATCAACAGTACTGGCCTCATCTTTAGTAGGCACTATACCCAATTAATACTAAATGAAAATGTTACAAAAATATTCATTACATATTTTCCATGTTCCCAGGTGGCTCCTCAAACATGTTTATATTGAGGAGCCACTTTTAGATTGATGTAACTTTGGATAAATCTCAGCGTTTGTCCTACAAAACTATTTGCTCATCTTACTAAATAAAGGAGTGAGTTTCCGTTTGAAATCTGAAACGGTTCCTCAAACCCTATGGACATGAACGATAAACAGTTCTCGAAGTGAGAGTATGTACGCTCTTTCTTGGATGCTTGAAGGTCGTATCTTCCTACTTACACCTGATGCTTCATATCGTATACATATTGTGTGAAATAATACAAAGTACGTGTAGCTTATAAAATTTATTAAATATTACAAAAGGCACTGTAACTTAATACTGGTCCTATGATAATAGCTTCGTTTGTGATGGTTAAGGCATAACAGTTAGTTAACAATTGCTATTTAAACATGCTATACATGATTATAAGTCCTAACTATTTTAAAAACATTTAGAAAAATATACATTATTTTATTGTATAAATATCGCTTTTAATATTTTTTATTATATAAATCAGCTACAAAAATCTATTAGCAGTGAGGATAGGTATAATAATACAAATGTTCACGCGTATATTTGTATACTACATTTATTAAAAAAATAGAAAATTGCACGTAAAGTAATTTTGTAATTAATTATTACAAATTTGATCTCTGATTATTTCAATGGATAAATAATTATGAACGGGATATTTAATGAAATACTATTGCAACCTAAACAAATAAAAGCAGAGCACAGCCAAATCCTGTAGCTGACTTATAAGTATTATATAAATGTACAATTGTAATAACTCAGAACAAGCCACCAGATCTACAAGATTATACAACTACTCTTTTATAGGACAAACAATGTGAGTTCGACAGTCGCGTGGAGAAAGAGAGAGAGATTTATTACAATTCTACATTTACTCACATCTCTTGCACATCAAGAGATTCAAATATTTCTAAACTAATACAAGTGCTTAGTCCGATAAAGAAGTGGAATGTATACATATTAAGTCGTAATATAAAACCCAGTGCCAGTGCCATATTATGCTGGTATGTATACAATTTTATAATAAATGTCACAGAAATAAATAGACACATAAATAAACAGAATCATACGAATTTGGGTAAGTATTATTGCTTATACTTGAGCCTGTAGGACTTCAAATTGACTGAAACATATGAACAGGACTATAGATTTATTTTATGTATATTACATAAATTTTATCGATAAAAATCGTAAAACTTACAAGCTTAAAACTTTTTTTGCTATTCGTGTATATTTCCTTATGATAAGTAATAGTTCAATAACTGCGTACATTTAATATCCTGAATTATTTCTATGTATTTATGTGAGAAAAAAATATATTTTGAAATAAATTGTTAAACTAGGTGTATTTACAGGCATTCCCTGCCCATTGAAGGGTTTTACAGGTACTGAAGGCCTTCGAACACTAGCGACTCCCAGTTGACACAACGATTCCAGAGGGTCCAATTATAAAATGGCAACGAAAAATAGATAGTGTGCGAAGGTCGTTTAATTAGTTTTAATTCTACGTAAATTATAACATTAACTTCATAGATCAGTATCGAGCATAATTCTTAAACTATTTCTTTAATCTCTGACTGCTGGGTAACTTTGAACATACATATATATTGTAAGAAAGTGTAATCAAGTTTTATATATCAGTGTTACCATAAAAATAATATTCTACTGCTATTAATAGTACATGCTAAATAATTATGCAGATATTATAAAAAAAACTATAACTATTGGACCAAAAGTAACCCGACAGTTCAAAGTTACCCAAGTTAACTGCTTCCACAAACGCGTCACCCCTCCTACGACGCACATAAAAATAAATTAAGTATGAACTACGCCCGACACTACTAACATAAAAGATAAATACTTAAAAAGCAATCGTGTATTATTAAAAACATAAAAATACGGAATGGATGTAAAATGCTTGGGTTGTTGGTCCGCGACAAAAAAAAAAAAAATTGTTCGAAACAGTTTAAAGCCATAAATTTATAAATGGAATTTTATTTATTTTTAGATTCTACCTCTTTTAAATATTTTTTTAAAACAATGTAAGTGCAACGTAATTTTTAGATTATATAAATTACTCATTTCTTAATAAAACCTTTTTAAAATTGAGTATAATATTATAATTTTATCAAGAAATGATACTATTTTGTATTAATAATAAAACTAAAGAATTTCATATAATATATTACGCAGTGTAACGCTAGTGGCAATTTTAATAATTATCGTGACTATGTATTGAATGTGTTACAGACAAGACTACTTCATTAAATATAAATTACACAATCAAATGTGAACTTGTATAAAATCACACACTTTTATAATAATCTACTAACATGTAGGACAACAGTTTTTAGGTAGGTATAGAAAAAGTACTATCAGAAGTGACCTTTGAAAACATTAATTATTTTATTCCACTTTTGTAACACTCAAAAATTCTACTTACCGAGTTGACTCAATATTATACAGATATAACAAAAAGTGCTTGTCAAATTTAATTAAGAGCTGTGTTTTTTTATTTCAGACACAATTCTAAAAAAACATAAGAATGTTGTTATTATTATTATTAAAAAACATTGTCTGTATCGAAGAGGCAGCCTAGTTCGGCATTGGACTTGCGATCAAGTGGTCGTGGGTTAAAATCCTGACCAGTACACTACCGACGTGAACCCACCCCAAACACAATCAATTTAGCTTAGCGGGAGGGGTTCACGGGAATTCAAGTAATTTCGGTTGCTAGTAGACCTTTTTTTTTAAAAAAAACTCATATTTTCATTAATATCAGCAATCTTATAGAATACTAGTTTTTGCCCGTGGCTCCGCCCCCGCGTGCATTTCGATTAGCGCGGTGAAAAGTAGCCTATATCCGTCCTCATGAATCAGAATATCTCCATGCCAAATTTTATTGAAATCGGTTCAGCGGTTTAGGCGTGAAATCGTAACAGACAGAGTTACTTACGCATTTATAGTATTAGTAGGGATTGGCTTTATCGACAAATACGTTGTTTAAGGGGTCTACTAGAAGTCACTTAACTATGAAAATACTTTTTTGTACCATTTGTACAATAATTAATTTTTAACCGACTTCAAAAAGGAGGAGTTTATAATAGTTTTATTTATCCACAATATATTTATTTAAAGTTAGAATTGCTGGATTCTCTGATATTGTACAACTGTAACATGTTGTCAAACAAATATTTCTTGGAATCAAATTTGAAAATGTATGTGAATATTCAAATTAAAGAAAAAAATATTTTTAAAATGATTTCAAAATATTAACCGTCTGCAAAAATAATTACAATTAACACATTTTGTTGTTACAAATAATGGAGTCGACAGATTGTGTATAATTCATAACAAAATCCTGCATGTTACAAGGCATATTAGTATTTTATTTTAGGGTAAAAAAAAAGACTATATTTGCTTGAACACAACCTTAAAGAGAAAAAATATTATAACTTACTTTTAACTGTGTTGATATATCTTTATATGAAATATCTAACTTTCCTCATCAAAATTATATGGACATAATAAATAACCAATAATTGTATAAGTCTAGGGTCACAACTACTCAAAAGGTTAACCTTTATCAATTATTTGCTCGAAAGGTTAACAGTCATTAGTCAAAATAATTTAACATTTAGAGCAACGGGTAGGCGAATATGACAAGGTTTGCTAGGATCATTTGCAAAGTTCAGTTCAATTTCCATTTTAATCTTATATGATGTTATACAAACACCGAAATGTGTTTTATTGCTAATTAACATTCGAAGTCACGTAGACTTTTAAATTAACCTTTCATAACTTATATTGCTGCTACAGAATAGTATCCTGCTATAGTAGCAGTCAGTTGATTAACCTCCAAGGTTAAAAATAGATGCAACTATAAGGTGTAATATAATAGTTGTTATTGGTTAACCTACGAAGGTAAAGGTTCACCAACAGTGTAGATGATGCGAGCGTCCCCTCAGTTGTAGAGCGGCGTGCCGGCCGGCGCCAGTTCCACGTAGTTGGCGGGCAGCATGCCGGTGCGGCCGGTGCGGAGGACCTGGCCGGTCATCCAGCCCTCGTCGATGGACGTCACGTTGGAGATCAGGTCACCTTCGCGGAATGACACTTCGTCGCTGTCGCTGGCTTCGTAGTCGTACATTGCGATGTATACTCGCTGGAAAGAGTTTTATTTTTTTGTAATTAATAATATATATCTGCACATAATGTATGTGGAATTGTGAGTGAAAGAGAGTGAATCAGTGTGTATGTAAGAGTGAAGGAGGGGGCAGATGAAACATAATCACGGCACGACGTACTGGAGCACGGTTGTATCTCTGCATAAGGCATTCTGAGCCTTATTTCGCCTACAAATCCTACATGTATTTAACAATGTATATAATTATGTATTCATAAAGCACAATTATTTTTCTGTTATGCTCTGTATTCATTAAATTTTTTCATTTAACAAAGCGCATCCAAACCGTTATTTTTGATGATCTCTATTTATATTTTAAGGAATAATTTAACAGAGTTTACGCTAACTTCAAAAGTAGATTTATACCAAGACACAGAAGAGCTGCTCGTGCTCATCACACAATCATTTGTCCTGCGTGGGAATCGAACCCACGACGTTTCGAGGAAGTTGATTTGCAAGAGAATGGGGACGAATGAGATCTACTCTACCCTGACATACCTGATTAACTTGAGTCTGATGATTAGTTGTCTGTCTCGGCATCTCATTGGCGAGGGGGTCAAGATCTGTCACGCGGCCAATTTGGCGAGTCTGCTGTTGCTGCTGAGAATGGGTTTGGTGAGATCCTGGAATATCACGAACAATATGTTAGAATGATGAAAGATATTGTTAGGTAAAATTAACATCTATCCGCTAACATATACATATCGTGGTCGGATTTTAAACCTTACCATTTCAACTGGGTCATTTCATCAATTTCGAGTTTTGATGGTACGAAAAATTTAATAAAAAAGGGTAAAAATCCTTTTTTTTAGTTAACACGTCATCTTCAATGTCATGTTGCATCAAATAAAAAACCGATATCAGCGCCTCTAACTGTGAGTAACGTAACTATTTGAAGATATGATCACTAAGGATTGACCATGTCATGAAGTAGTCGTGCGTTTAGCTATTAATATATATGCAAATGCTGATTACTCATTAATCTGTCAAGAAAATACAATTATTTTTATATTTATTCATCATCATCATCAACAGCCTCTAATAGTCCACTGTTGGACATAGGCCTCTCCTTAGAAAGGAATGTTTTGGTCTCCTACACCACGCTGGCCAGACGGGTTGGTATAGGGGTTTGTTTCAAGTTTTATTTCTCTTTGCAGTGCTGTTGTTCTGCGTAGTTTGCTCCCTTGGTCAACTCTTACGACACTCACGGGAGGAATAGGGGTGGTGACACTCCGTATTCTTAACCCGTCACCACACGGTCAAATTCATTCACAGATCTTTTTAACTAATGCATATATTCTCGCACATAATGCTACTATTTTAGTTTAAAATAAGGATTTTATTTCTTCATTTCAAGAATTGACCAGCCATGTTATGAAGTGATGAATTTTAAGATCTGGGCACGACGGTTTGTATTATATTTTAGTATTATAAAAAACCTAAAAAAAAGGGAAGATATTTTTAAGGTGTAAATATTGCTCACAACAATTTAATCAATATTGTTAACTATAGACAGTGTATTAGGATAACTTTTATCTTGGATTTGAGTTTAAACAGAAACAAACCAAGAAGGAACTATTTTCTTAGCCGTTCAGAGGCAAACCCAGCAAGAGTATTAGTTAAACTAAATAAAAAAATTAAAATACAATGAAAATGATGACATATAAACATACACAATAACAGTATTCGAAAGACATACATAAATGAATACTTTTATTAAGACGTGTACAAAAAAGCGACTCTCGGAGGTACGCATTAAGGTCCAAATAAGCTGGTTTCAAGCGTACTTGTTACGATATACCCACAGATTAGTCATTTGTGGATATGCCCTATATTCACAAGCCAGATTTTTAATTAAATGATGACATTTGGGTTTTTCTTCCCGTTCTCTATTTTGGTCTCGTTTTAAAGTACAATATACAAACCTCTTTTCCCTTCACTACTATTGTAAATTACTGTCGCAGACGCCCTCTGGGTGTTTGGGGGAGCTCTTGGTGGATCAATAAGAGGATCGTAGTCTTGAATCCTGCCAATTTTCTGTTGCTGGCCAGCTTGATAATTCTGCTGATACTGCGGGTAAATTTGTTGATTTTGCTGGACACTCGGTTGATTTTGTTGAAAATTCGATTGATTTTGTTGGAAATTCGATTGGTTTTGTTGGAAATTTTGTTGATTTTGTGGATAGTTCGGTTGACTTTGTTGGTAGTATTGTCCTTGATAATCATATTGATATTGAAATTCCTCCTTTGGTTTATAATATGGATCTTGTTGATACTGCCGGTTATGTCCTGATGGTTGATGAGCAACCTGGGGTTGTTGTTGTTGTTGTTGAATTTGATATTGGGTTGTGGGGGTCTGGTAATGGTTCTTCGGCGGCAAGTTTGGTGGAGGGACGTTCGGTGGCAGCATCTCCGTGGCATAGTTGTCAATTTGTTGATGATAATTTTCTGATGGAACATCTAAACGGATGATGGACAAACAAATATGGTTTAATAACATATGAATGTGTGAAAGTTGATCAGAAAATATATGTTTTTTTAAATAACTGAGTCCATTAATGCAGTTACTTTCTATATTGTTAATATTGGCTAGTTTATATCCGTCGTAGTTGCATGCTAACTCACAGTATGACCATACGGGTACCGACGAAAAATAACTAAATATTAATAAATACTATCTCGCATAAAAAGGAGAAGAGAAAAAACGGTATTATTATATTTTATTCATAGAAATATACATACGTTTTTAGGATTCTAATGGTACATGATACGTCAGGTTTCTGTCGTTTGAATTACAAATCGACAAATGTGATAATAATCTACAAAGTTTTGAGACAATCTGAGAAATACACGGATTTGAAATTATCGACATCTATACTAATATTATAAACCCGAACTGCCGTGCCTATCCAATACACTGTAACTTTTGAAAACGACTTTTGACCATGAAAGCTTATTTACAGTTTTTTACCATGTTAAAACCCTAATTGCAGTACAATACAGTATTTTTTAGATTATTGTCTCTTCTATAAAACATTTTAGCATAATAAGTGTTGATCAGGGGTACTAAACCGACGTAAAGAAAGTGATTAAGCGTTGTTAAGGCAAAACACTGTAAGTCGAGTTACAGTCTTTTGGATCAGCAAGGCAGCGAAGAGTTTGTTTTTTTAGTCGAACGCGCTAATCTTATCAACTACTGGTTCGAATTGAAAAAAATCTTTAACTGTTTGATAGCCCGTTTATGACGCTACGACCAATAAATAGTATCTATAATTTATACAGATCAAATTTATAAAGATCTTCTAACATATATTATTCGTGATCAACTTACATTAATGATAGTTAGCAACACATGGTCAATATGGCCGTTTACCATTCGGAGCATCGAACACCCACACAATGATTGTGAATGTGCAAGGGGAATGACTGAGTACATTCAATGAGTGCAATGAATCTGGATTTTTTATATACACAGCTGATCTTTACATTAAAACGTTACGACAATTCTTTGAAAACTTTTTATAGGGTAATTTCGCGGACAGTGATATAATATAAGAAAAATAAATGTGAAATAATAAAATGTTGTTTAAAACATTAGCTTTTTACTAACTGTAAAAAGCTAAAGTTCTTCAACAGTATTTTTTATCGAAATGTTGTGTGAAAATAGCGACGTCAGTGAACTTATGTTATCCAGATTTATGATTACACTGTTGATAGTGACAGTTTAACTTATACTAGAAAATAATAGGTTGATTTATTTTAAAGACAGAATATAACAAACATTCAAAACCTTCACTAGAGATCACTAGATTATTTCGAGTAAAATTCTAATATATTATTAAAACAAAAGCGTTTACAGGATTTTTGCAATTCGATAAAGTGCAATTTTCTCTGTAATAATCCCCAATAGCGGAGGCTAACACACACATCATAAATACTATATTTTTTAGAAATTAATGATAACAGAAAATACACACAAAAAATCCCAGATTCATTTCACTTGTGCAAATATACAAACACATCACCAAAATAAACCAACTTGCAACAGAGTGAACATAGCAATTGTTCACCAGGGCAAATGGGTGAATCAAACATTTACAAAATGTGATCAACTTTTCACCAAGGTAACATATTCACCAGGATGCCAGACATATACATAAGCACAGACACTCACCCACTATCTCACCATTTTCATTGATTTGGCGCTGTTTCTCCATCTGCGCCTTCTTCTCCAGATCGCCATGGTAGGCTACGTTGCTGATGATCTTTGTGTTAGCTCTCATTCGAAGGGTTTCTGGGTCATCTGCGACCTGTAAAATGAGGGATTGTGTTATAGGTTTTAAGTAGAAATTATTTGTTCTTATGGAGGAAGATTCTAAGCTGTCCGTGTGGTGACGGATTAAGAATACAGAGTATCGCCTCCCCTATTCATCCCTTGGGTGTCGTAAGAACCGACTAAGAAAGCAAACTACGCTGAACAACAGCACTGCAAAGACAAGGAAAACTTTACACAAACCAAATAGCAACTCGTCTGGCCACGCTGGTATGATAGGCCAAAACCCCCTTCGTCCAGTAGGAGAGGCCTATGTCCAGGAGTGGACTATTAAAGGCTGTTGATGATGATTGAGGAGTAAGAAACGAAAATAATTGCTTAAAACGGGTTCTCTGTGAGGTTACGGTTACGGGTAGGTCTCTTACCTTACCGGAGTAACCTTAACCTCACAGAGAACTTCGGTCATCTAGGAAACACTTATAACCTCTTTAAATGCATGCATTATTAGCATGGAGTTTAATTTTTGTTTTAAGTAAGATCACCATATTCCAGGATCAGGTTGCTATATTCTATTCTTTTTTCCCGGACCCATAAAAATGCTGGTTTGACTGTATCATGTCTTGGCGGTATTAATAGTTCTAATGTGAAATTACATTTTCAGTAGTCGATTATCAAAAATACATCACAACTATGGAATTACTAGTTTTGCATACGGCTTCGCTCGTGTAAATGTCAATATTGTCAATGAATTTGACCTGGATAAATAGTAGCCTTTGTGCTATTCTAGAATATAATTTATCTATGTGCTAAATCTCGTCCACAACCGGCAAGCCGTTTTGGCGTGCTTGAGTAACAATACATACATACTTAAGTTTGAAAAGTTAAAATATATATATGTTTAAGAGTATTTACTGTGAGTTTGAAAACGCTACTACCAAAAAAAAAAAATGAAGTTTCATATAAATTTCTAACCACCATTTTGCACCCATAAATTATTTCTTAGAGCACACCTACGTCACCTAATAAATATTTGTGCAAAATTTCATGTTTTTAGACCCAGCGATTTCAGGTGTGCGTTGATCGATCAATCAGTCAATGAATCAGTGTGTCTGTTTCTTCTTTTATATAAATAGATTATTTATACTGCATCACGCAACCAAAGTTGTCGTTCTGATATAAGTTTCACCCTTTAAAAGGTGTGACAATCTTAGGTAAAGACGTAGTAAGACATACCTGTGTGAATTTCCCCTTACTCTTCTCGAAGGCAGCGTGATAATTGACGTTGCTCTGTATTTTCGTATTCTCGGCTATTCGTTTGAGTTCGGGCGTTTCTGCCATCGTGGTCGGCTTCGCTTTTGGCACGTGACTGTAAAATGGTATATAATTATATGATGGGTATGATAAGGAAATTCTTAATGGTAATCGTTTAATGAACCGGGAGCCTATGGATTCTTGGTACATGAATTTCGTCACTTGTTTTGCTTTATGAAGTTTGTTAGAAGAGCTAACTTTTTAGCATAAAATCAGGGTATTCATTATGTTGAGTGTACTAGATCTAAAGCACTGGAGGTGTCCAGTACTTTAAATTTGATGAGAAATCTGTTGTGTCTCCTTTCTATGACTTACACACTAATATTATACAGGCGAAATGTGAGTGAATTATGTGAGTGTGAGTGTTTGTAAAAGTTGGTATAGAGGTAGCTAACACCCTGGACTAACACACAGGCTAATTTTATCCCGAAAAATTGTTGTGTTCCCTTGGTATAAGCCGTGGGTAACACCGCGGGGCGCAGCTAGTTATGATATAAATTTTTCTTTACATGTTGTCTCCCCTTATTTGTTTTTAATCTTATGGTTTAATACCATCTCACCTGAGTTTATATAAAAATAATAAAATAAGCCATTCAAAAATACTCATAACTTGACACGCGGCACGTGGCTTTTGATCCAAACTAAGTGGAGCCTGTACTTTGATAACCAGTTTTCATTTATTTATTACTAAATAAATACATATTTTAGAAAAAATAACAACCAGACACACAACGAATAATCGCGCTCATTATTTTGCCAAGGTGGGAATCAATCAATGGGTTAAGCTGAGATGTTGTATGTGTGGATTAAGAATACGGAGGTACGCCACTCGTATTCATCACAGGACAACGGCACTGTAAAGAGAAGGAAAACTTGGCACAAAACCTATAACAACCCGTTTGGCCAGCATGGTATAGTAGGCCAAAACCTCCGTTGTAAGGAGAGGCCTATGTCCAGAAGTGAACTATTAAAGGCTGTTGATGTGTGATGTGATGTGGGAATCAAAGACAATAACAACCTCTAGCTCAGCAGTGAGGATTAGAAATAACAGTCCCCCTCAAATCATTAAATCGAAATTACAAAATTTTGTGCTCAATTGTTGTCTAACAATATATAAGAGGATTTTCCGAGCCCCAAATTCGACAATTTTATGTATTCACGTAGCCATTCAGTTGGGAATTTTCTTCACTTCGAAAAATTGGCATCGACTTCATTTTAGACGCAAGGAATTGTTAATATCCATAATCGACCCCGTTTCTTCAAATTTTTTGACCACTCTTCGAATGGTTGACACATTAAGTGCACTTTTTCTACTGAAAATTTGGCGAAGTTTGCGAGCGGTGTCAGCGTAACTCTCCCCATTTTTGTAATGAGTTTTCATAATTACGCGTTGTTCGAAAAGTGCTCCATTTTTAATAATAATCGGAATAAACATAGGTGACAGCTGTCAATTTGCGGAGTTGCCACTGGCACGAAAAAAAAAAGATTCTAAATTTAAAAAGTGCAATCTTACTGAGACACCTTTTAGTATATTAAAGACCTTATTGAATTAATAGATTAGTTATAAATCAATATATGTATAGGTAAGTATATATCTGTAGGTGGATTTTCCTTAATTAAATTTTGTAGTTATTATAACGCAATTATAGTAACGAATAATATTTTCCTTATAACGTATGACTGCCACATGTAAAGAGTTATTTAAATTGAAATAATATATAATTTAACCACTGCGTCTAAGAAAAAATTAAAGTAAAAACGTTGTTAATTTAACCTCCTATAATAAAAATTTCGGTCTAAGTACTAGGAAATATATTGTGCCAAAGGACTATAATGAATTGCCGGAGATGAATGAAACAAAGAGATTTACCAATACTAATATTATAAAAGAGAAAGTGTGTCTAACTGTCTGTTACTTCAACCGATTTAGATGCAATTTGGTATAAAGACAGTGTGAGTCCGGAAAAAGGGTATAAGATAGTTTTTATTCCAGAAATCATCCTTCAAGGGGGTGAAAGTCTGTGTGGAGCATCAATTAATAACCGCTTAACCGACTTAAATGAAATTTCGTATGGATATAGTTTGAGTTGTGAGGAAGGACATAGGCTTTTTCCCGTGATAACCGACATACACGCCGACGGAACCGCGAGCAAAAGCAAGCTTGAATATAAGGTAAAAAAATCTTACTTAAGACGATACAAGAATGCGTAAAGTAATATAAGATCTTGCCTTGCTTCCTAATAAATATTTAATGGAATGTAACGTCAGCTTCTATCTTTAACATTTTTCTGTTTTTCATTACTTTTCTGGTTTTTAGGTTTCTCTTTTTTATTGTAGCCTGTTTTAGTTCATTTCTGATCTTTAAGAGTGGCCGCGTCTTTGTTTACCCGATATCATCTGACACAAGGATCAACCATTTGTAAACTGACTGTTATGGGCAGGCACAGATAGATATTATCTAATAATCTATAATTCTTCTTGTTATAATTTTACATTTTCAATTTTATTTACTTTAATTTTATTCATACCTAAAGAACAATTATTGAGCAATGTAATGACATAAATGTATTTGAACACGTAAGCTGTAATATTGATGGTATTTTTAAGAGGAAAATTTAATATGTAATATAATTGTACTGGTACTGGTACTGGAATCATATATAACGGATCATCGTCCAACGGTATGTTTTATAGAAAAAATTAAACCCGCAAGCAAAAAATGTCATATTAAGACTTTTATAGATTATTCTAATATTAAAACGGACTTAGAGAGCACTGATTTTTCGTGTATATTAAACACAAAGAATGCCAATTCAGCAGCAGACCACCTGGTTACCACTATTTCATCCATAATTTATAAAAATACGAAACAAATACCAGTACAAAAAAAGAATAGATTACTTAAACCCTGGATAACAATGGGACTACTCCGTTGTATTAGAAATCGTGATAGATTACACCTAAAATGTAAGAAATCACCAACAAACATGACTCTAAAAATTACTTATACACGATATCGTAATTTCTGCAATAGTCTCCTACGAAAACTAAAAGTCGAATATGAAAAAAATCGATTGGATAAGGCTGGCAAAAACCCAAAAGCCTTGTGGGAGGCCGTGAAGGAAATTACCAATACACGTAAAATAAAAATCAGTCCCACGGAGCTTTTAAGTGTAACTAATGATCCCCAAATGTCAGTCAACCAGGTCTGCAACTACCTTAGTAACATAGGCACACTTCTAGCGGGCAAGATACTTTCTTCCCCTAACAACAACCCCCTTGCCCAAACAACTAGTGTTATCACTTCCGGTATTAATAGCCCGTTGAACTCAGCAGTCATACTGGATGTTTCCGAATTGGACATAACAAATATCATTCAAGATCTTCGTCCCAATTGCGCGGTAGGGTGGGATGGTATATCTAACGAGGTTCTAAAACAATGCCGCTCCGTTTTGGTTCCTCCAATCACCCACATATGCAATTGCGCTATAAGGACAGGTGTTTTCCCGGAAGCGTTCAAACTATCAATCGTTCATCCGATTCATAAGGGTGGAGACAGAGATTGTGTCAACAATTATCGGCCAATAGCAATACTACCTGCTTTATCTAAGATCTTAGAAAAGGTTCTTAATAGGGCCCTCATAAATTTTATAACTGAATACAATATACTAGCTAAAAATCAGTACGGCTTTCGCACTGGTATCTCATGTGAAGATGCCGTACTGGATCTTACTAATGAAATAGTAAAAAAATTAGTTTGCGGCAATAAATGTCTTTGCATATTTTTAGATCTCTCTAAAGCCTTTGACACGGTCTCTGTCCCTATCCTTCTAGCGAAATTAGAAAAGCTAGGTATACGTGGTATGGCCCATGAAATTTTCAAAGATTATCTGTCCAATAGAAGACAAAAGGTAAAAGTAGATCGATACGTTAGTGAAGAAAATAGTGTCTCATACGGTGTCCCACAAGGGAGTATTCTAGGCCCCACACTTTTTCAGCTTTACATAAACGACCTTTGCACATTGTCCATCCCAAATGCAAACATTTTCACCTATGCTGATGACACGGCAGTCCTTATTTGGGGGCCTGACTGGGGTGCCACGCGAGAGATAGCTGAAAATTCCCTAGCCCTGATCATGAATTGGCTCACTGGTAATCTCCTTACACTAAACTTAACTAAAACGCTGTATGTTCCATTTACAATGAGAAAAACAAACGCTTCTCCTTGCAACTTCAATATAAAAGCACACACATGCCTTTCTAAAGTCAATTGTACATGCCAACAACTTACAAGAGCAGAAAGTGCAAAATATCTTGGTGTTCACATAGACTCTCGTCTGAAATGGGACACTCATATTACTATGGTGACAACGCGATTGCGACGTCTCATACATATTTTTAAAACCCTGAGAGATGCCGCTACAATAGACAAGATAAAACTAGTCTACAAGGCTTTATGCGAATCCATGGTTCTTTATTGTATCACAGTTTGGGGAGGAGCCGCTAAAACCCATTTACTCAGTCTGGAGAGGGCACAAAGAGCAGTTCTAAAGGTCATGACCAAAAAACCCTACAGGTACCCAACACATTTACTGTACTTAAACTGCAACGTCCTAACAGTGCGACAGCTCTTTGTGCAAAAATCCATTCTGAGAAAGCACAGAAATGTACCCCCTCCAAACCCAAAGCGACGAAGATTTATGTCGGTATGTCCTAGGGTCTATTTCAAAACCGCCTTTGCCAGTCGTCAATCTGTTAGTATTACATGTAAACTTTATAACCACATAAACAGAGAAGTAGATATTGTAGGTCTCAGAAGACACGAACTTAAAAATAAAATTACAAACTGGCTTCAGAAGCTAAATTATCAAGAAACAGAAAATTTACTGCAAACAATTAAATAATTTATTTCATTCTACTCTCTTGTGATAAACTGGGTATCTTCGCGTTTTTCACACTCGACTCGCACACACGATAACACACACAAACACACACACACACACACACACACACACACACACACACACCCACACACATACACACACATACACACTC